AAAAACTTGGCGCTGCTCAACCGAATTTTAATTTTAATACGTAATTATACTCACTAACGACGATGATTATTATTAAGTATCTATGTGAAAGGAATAAAGCAACTAACACACATACTCGAGTGTACTCGTCTTGGTTATTTATTCACCTCGTCCAAATATAAAATAGGTGTACTGCGGGAACGCAATATCGTATATTTTTATTTCTCGATACACATTATAGATATATATAGATAACCGACAAAAGAAGTGCGAGACACGATATAGACATATTATAGTGTGTGGGTATTCAAAGTGATATACATATACATTACGAGTGTGTCATGCAGCTCGTGCCTGCGGTTGCGGTTGCGGTTGCGGTACGCTTTCTTTTACGCTCCGGCTGCGCATCATCAATAAACAGATCGCGCGTCTCTCTCGTGACTCCGTCAACACGTAGTAGATCGTTTGTCACAGCGGTGATTAAGTCGTGCACCAATCGATTCTTGGTATTCACGGTCGACGAAGAATACAAAAATTGCCCTCGCAGCTTGGCGCGTCTCCACCAATTACGCTTATCCATCTCTCTGATATCATCGACGTTAAATATCTGTATGCGAGCCAACTGAGTATTCACCTCTCCCGGTGTTCTCACGATATGCAATTTACCGTTGCACAGCCTCGTGATATTTTGCGGTATTGATTCGAGTGGCGAGTCCACTTCAGCGACATGCTCGCACGTTTTCTTCGCATCCAATGCTGTGAGCACGAGATCCGTTGACACGTTCTTAATGTACCGCCGATAGTCAGTGATCCATGCACGATACGAAGTCTCGTTCATTACACCTTTCACGAGTCGAGCATGCAATTCCTTCTGAGGGGTGTTGCGGAGAAATAGTTGCATCTGCAGCGTAGGACATACCGGATCCATTGGACCTTCCGCAATCAACAAGCTGTACACATCCATCAGAATGTTTTTCATCTCGTTCCCCTCGTGCATACGTTGCGTATTTCTGCGTGTTGCTCCGCCTTTCGTCATGTAACTCGATATCATCGCGATCAGCAGTCGTACATTTCGCGTTGCCGAAAAGGACGAATCCCACACCTCGTTCAGAAGGTCCAATAAGGTGATGTATGACGACTCTGCGTAGTTGTCGTTAATATCCGGTACTACGATCTCCTCGAACTCATCGTCGTCTAGCAGTTGTGTTTCCTATTCGGAATGCAAACGAATTAGAACTTGTATAACAAAAAAAAACGGAATCGTATATAGCTGCTACAAACCTGTACGTTGGACATGATGCTCGGTCGATCTTGAATGATGTACGATAGTACGATGCTAGCAACGTCCGATCGCTCGCGCTTTTATTCACTCTTTCGACGCCCGCGAGACTCTTGCTGTTACATAGATGTTTTTTTTGTCTGTCGTATATGATAAATAGTTACTCATCGCCTCAAGTTTACCGATTGGTATGTTATATCGAGACGGTTGTGCAATATCCTTGCGATTAGTCGTATGTCTACAGAGCAATTAGCACCCCTAAACATATCTCTTTCGAGGTGAAGGGTATATAGGTTTTTGTGTCACGCAAACGTGATGTATTACTTATTGTTAGTAGTGGTCATCACTGCATCTTTCCGGATTTGTAATGTATAGCAATACGTTTACGCAATATCCTGGCGACTAGTCGTCCGTCTGCGGTCAGCGTATCGTTCACTCTGTCGATGTGAACGGTAGAGATTTATTGCCAGGCATACGAGATGTATTATCTATTAGAAGTCGTCTGCGGTCATTTATCGTTCCAAACATCTCTCGATCTGCGGTCAGCTATTGTCCCAAACATCTCTCTCGAGTGGAATGGTAGAGAGTTAGTAGTGTCAGGCATACGAAATATATGTATAAGTGGTAATACGCATTGCCGCTAGTTGTTTTTTTGCTGTCGAATTGTATGTCGGTACGCCTTCGCTCTATCTATAACGCACAAGTCGTCCGTCGCAGCCATTGTCTCGATGTGTATGTTAGCTCGCTACGTTTTACGCAATATCCGTGTGATGAATCGTCTGTTTCGCATCTTGAGTCGAACGGTATAAATTCAGTGGTAGGTGTGCGAGATTTCGTATAAGACTTTTCTCGCTTGGGACGTTGCACGTATGTGCGAAGTTTGTGTGAAAAATAACCATGGAGCAACTGTATGGTTTGATGCTGATGACTGACACCGTCACTCGTGAAGTGAATGAATTCGCGAAAACATTGGATACTCTAGCGGCGACCGTGCGAAATATGTATACTGATTTGGACAACCTGAAGAAGAGTCTTCCAACGTTTGTAACGATGAACGTTAATTTGCTCGTGCACGAGAAATCGCTATATACATTGTAAGTAGATAGTGTTGTAAGGTACATAGAATATACATGCATACTACTACACACTGTGTTGGTTACAGAAAAGACATTCGGAGCTTCGTACAGGATATGTCTACTCCCGTGGACGATTACGCAAATAAATTGAATGAGGTATACGCGGAGCTGCATGCTTCGATAAGGGTGTCGGAAATCAATCAGAGCAGAAATCAAAGACAAAATATGACGTCTGATGAAAGTAATGCACAGACGCAGACGCAGACGCAGACGCAGATTGTGGTGATGCATCTAGGAACGCAGGGAGAGAAAGAGACAGAATGTGCGAGTAAACACTAATACGATGAATATGCTTTTTTCATGTGTAATATACGTGTACAACTGGTAAAGTACACTACTGGAATAAATACTGGTGGAAGAAGATACATATAGCGGGATAATGGTGCGAGTAAACACTAATACGATGAATATGCTTTTTTTCATGTGTAACATATATATTTGTACAACTGGTAAAGTACACTACTGGAATAAATACTGGTGGAAAAATAGACATATAGCGGGATAGTGTATGTATGGAGGAGTAAGTAGAGAGAGAGAGAGAGAGAGAGAGAGAGAGAGAGAGAGAGAGGGAGAGAGAG